ACCATATTGCTAGACATATCTGAGACGAAGAGATACCATTAGTTGAATTCATTTTTTTATATTTACGTTAATTTTAATTGACAAATTTCTGACATTGATTTTTATTTTTTCAGGAATGTGATCCTTAAAAGTTTATTAACCACAAGTAGAAGAGTACTGGCTTGCCTCAGCTAAATGAGGATTGGTTTTAGGCACTTTTGTCCTTATCTGGCCTGAAGGACTTGTGCACGACCTGTTATACTACGGTTAACTAAATGATGCTTAATGCATTCGTGGAGAGATTACACTCGAAGACCTCTCCATTTCATCTATCGCTTGGTGAGATGTCTATCACACTTGACGATGACTTGTGTTTGCCACATCTTCCGATCAGAGGGAGACTTATAGATCATGAGAGGATTACTAAAGATGGGGCACTCGAGATGATGGTACATTATATGGGGGTTGACCCAGGGAAGGCGAAGAAGGAGTTGGATAGAGCCAGGGGTGCCCATGCTAAGTTTGAATACATGAAAAAGTATATACAACTGAAATCCTGATAGCACAGCAGGCTACAGGTGATGATGAAAGGGTGGCGCTCCACAAATCGTATACTATGAGAGCATACCTGCTATATTTGGTTGGCATTGCGATTTTTATGGACAAGAGTGTCACTTACATAAATGTCGTCTACCTACAGTACTTCGAGGATTTCAATCAGATAAATGAGGACAACTAGAGGGTTGTTTGTTTGGTCTACATGTACTCGAAGTTGAAAGAGGGTTGTATGTGGAAGACGAAGTAGGTCATAAGTAACATCACACTACTGACAATAATTTATTGGTCTTTTAATGTTTCTTTGTCATTTTCATTTTATCTTTTCTAAGCCATTACTGATGATTCGTGTGTTTGAAACTTTTCATTTCAGGCTTGGATCCTCCAACACTTCCTACGCATCTCTGGTTGGGTGAATGTACCTGACTTAAACTGAGGATATGTCGCGTGCTACTAATTTTTTCCCGCTCAGAGGGAACCATGCGACCGAACCTTTCAGAGTGTATCTTGACCGTTTAGTTACTGAGGACATGGACTTCAACAACTATGTCGATCACCGTGAGACGTGATCATTTGACGAGATAGTTTTATACTCTGGATGGTTGGTCTGTGAATCGTGTCTCACTGCTCATCATCTACCTGAGCGTGTTATACGATAGTTCGGTTACACTTAGATCATTCTCATAACCCTGTTGTCTCTGATCCTCCTGCTTTGACACGTAGATAGATATATTACATGTTCGATGATTATGAGAGTCATCTAGTACCAGAAGAGACACAAAGTATCATAGTTGTGAGTGTTAGGAAAAACAAGCAAAGCATAGAGAAAAAAGAGGAATACAATCCAACACAAGAACATAACGTGGAAGCTCCAAAACCGGAGAAAAACCACGGTTGTTGTCAATATATAACCATAGAATAACACTATGTGAAAATTGTGACAACACATAATATACCCTCAACTAACCCAGACCCCAGTACACCTGCACCCTCTAAAACAAATATTTAACTACATCTCACAACACTCTAATACAAGAGCATAAGAACAAAGAAAGTTCTTTTGACTGGTGCATCTTGAAATGAAGAAGTTGGATCCTATATATAGCTTTGGACTCACTCTTCCTTCACAAAACTAAGCGATGTGGGACTTCAAGAAACTTGTATCTTATATATAGCTTTGGACTCTCTCTTCATTCACAAAACTAAGCGATGTGGGACTTCTTCAACATGTATATTTTCAACCAACCCCAACAGTGAACGACTGGAGTTAGATCGACGGGTATATCAAATGGTTCTTCAGAGTGTCACATTCGTACATGGTGCATGCTGCCATGGTTGTCAAACTCGTACGAGTTTACAAGTCTTGGAAGCATAAACGAGTAAACTCGTTCATAGAATCAGTTTTTGATAGACTCGAGTAGACTCTGATAGACTCGCATAAACTCGTATAGACTCGCGAGTCTATGGCAAGTTTACGAGTCTATAAGTTTTTTTGAATTTTGTTTTTTTAAACCAAAAAGGCCAAAATTACCCAAAAGAAATTATTTTATTTTATTTTTTTTAATTTATTTATTTTTCCTTGTACAAAAATTATAAAGTCTCTCTCTCATAGTCTCTTGTTTCGGTAAAAGTTTCTTCCCTTCATCCACGACGTGTGTTTATTATGTCTCTTACTTTGTTCGTGTTTGTTGTTGTGAATCAATCCTTCGTTGCATAAGTATTTTCTTGTATGTTTCACTTGAATGTCTCTCTTGTATGTTCTCATTTGTAAAGGTGATGCGCCATTGTTCAATCAGATCCACTGATCCCAATCCCCGTCTATCAATTTGACGTGACAAAATGGTTTAGAAAATTTATGATTTGTGGTAGAAAACATTTTTTTTCTGTTTTGAAATAATATATTGCTACATTTTTTTTATAGAATTGTAATTTACGAGTTATGACAAAATGTTTTGCTCACGGTTTTAAAATAATGAAATTTTGCTATAACTTTTACTAATTAATTAACTATTAATGATAATAATTATAAGAAACATGCGTACCAAGTGTTGTAAAACGCTAGGGTCAGCGGATGACCTTGATGATACAGACATTAAAGTACATCTATTTAGAATTAGTTTTAACATAAGGCTATAATAGTTTGAGAAGAGACATAATTTTAAACTACAATTGCGAATATTGCAATTGTAATCATTGTGGTTGCTGCACATTGTAGCCGTTACAACTTGAATTGTGCTTAAGAATAATTTAAAACATATCGTTAAAAAACACTTACTCTTACGATTTTTTAAAAAGAATTTGAGTTTTTGAGTCTAAATTTTGAGTTTTTATGAAAATATTTGAAGAAACACTTACTGTTATGATATTTTTGTGTAGTAGCTAATTAAGAAGAAATTAGTACTTTAAGTATTTAACTACATACAAAAAAAATTGTGTGTGTCATGTATGTGGCATTTACAAGTTTAAAAATATATGTGTGTCATGTATGTGGCATTTACAAGTTTAAAAATATATGTGTATGTCATGTATGTTTCACTTACAGGTTTTTAAAAGTCATTTTTTATTTTCCATAGACTTGTACGAGTTTGCGAGTCAAGTCTACAAACGCTTTACGATTCTGAGTAGACTCGCGAGTTTGACATCTTTGCTTGCTGCTTCAGGAGATCCGCTGAGGCCAGTTCATCATGAGGTACTAGAAGATGAGCAGACACAGTTAGATCATGTTGATGATGTCTTACTTAGATGTCGTGCATAGTGGAGATTGCACAGACATACATTGATAGAGGTATCTTTCCTGATGGATATGATGTGAGGCAGGTCGTAAATGCCATCACAATGGAGGCACATAGGGGCATTGATGTATCAAAGACAACACCAGAGAGTGGGAGAGATTGATGGGCGAGGAGGCAGATGAGACGTAGTTCGACATACATATGAGTGTATTAGTATATAGTAGTAGTACTATGGATTATATTTTATTTTGACATCATACTATTTTATTGTTGTTCTCGACTTTTTTTGACATTTATTGGTATTTTATTTATATATGACATTTTTGGACCATCTGAAATTATGTACGTCATTTTTTGCATATCACTTGTATCTCCGCAAAACTCAAAGAGATGTATCTCTAGTACAATAAACTTGTACAATGACTTCTGAGTGTGATGCATATGTGTTTTAAATTGTTACGGAGATGTATTTCCAAAATATTTTAACATTTAATTTAATTTTAATGTGTATAAAGATGTATCTCCAGAATCAAAGGGCATTTATATATTTTTACATAGTAACTAAGAATCATAAAAGGTGCATTAAGAAATTTTAATTCCCTAAAACTTCAAAGATTAATAGCCGGTATGCAAAGGCCTTAAAAGCCCAATATTTAAACACAGTGACCATAATTTCAATGCTATCAAAGAAGAAAATTGCTTTTTTCACCCTTTTTGTTCCTCACCCACCACAATGAAATTTCAATAATATCCTTAAAATCCAGATTGTATAATTCAATCGAACTTAAAATGTCAAGTTCATTCATATTTTGCCAAATAAAAGGTAAAAATAAGTTCAAATTTTAAAATTTAGATTCACTCAATCCCAATTCATTCTCAAACATCCCAATTCATTCTCAAACTCAATTTTTCATAATGCTCGAAGGTTAGTCCGAATATTAAAATTTAGATCGTTTTCTATTATGACAAATTAAAAAGCAGATAACAAATAAAGTTCAGGGGTTGTTCGGATATTAAAATCCAAACCCTGAAGATAGTATATAATTTGAGAAATCTAAATGCAAGTCCTTCTGTTTTCTCTCATTGGTAATGGTCATTGGTCACATTCGATAAAAATAGTTGAAGATGCAAATACAGCAGTTGCGAAACTCAATGGCAGTGTAAGTTTCATTGTTAAATGTTCATTCAACAATTTGGTTTCTTAAAAGACTTGTGAATTTCATGTTAATTTGGCAGCAAATTAGAAGGCGCTTGATTAAAATGAATGATGCGTGGGGTTTGAAAATGAAGAAATTAAGGCGCATATGTCCCCTTACTAGATTGATTATCTATTCCTTTTGTGCGATATTATGTGGAAACCTCTTTCCATGTGCCAGAGAATTTACTCTCCGCATTATCAGGAAAATGAAGATCGAACATTTCTTTAGAAACTCTATATGATTGTCTGAACAATCATTTATTTTATGAAAAATTGTGTGAACGACTTACTGATTAAGCTATATTTTCACATGTGGACATAGTTCCAAAGTTTTGCATAAGTTGTTTCTATTCTGCAAAACCTCTGATGTGCACAATGTTGCAATTTCATCCTAGAACAAACGAAAGGATAGGATTTAGCAACATTAACCCTATGATATTGGGTACCATACCCCAACAACATTGAGAATTTTGTTTCCATTGGTCTGGTTTGAGATTTCACATTGGGAATTCACGGCGCGGCAGATTAGAAGTTGACTACTGTTTCCTTGGCTTTGATTTGAAAACACCCCACAAGTAATATTTTTTGCAGATTCCTGAAAAAATTAGACAAGTCGCCGAATCAAACACCTAATGAAAAATCATTCTAAATTTTCTGTCAAAGGACAAGTTTTCTAACATACTTCTATCATCTGGAGGCAATAAATGCGAGGAAAAAATGAAGAGTTCCAAGTTGTTGTTTATGACTGCTTTAAGAGCATTATCTCGTTCAATCGCATTGTTGAGCACACGATCAAAGATCATCTCATCTCTAATCACCAAAATATTAAGGGAAATTTAGAACACGACATTACTGATTAGTAAACAGAATATAATCCATTGAAGAAGCATACCTTTCATATTGAGGGAAAAAATAAAGACCAATATAATGATTATTAGGTGGATAGGTGACAAATCTCTGAGGCCAAATAACATGTCTTGATAACGACTCTACATCAAGGAGTTCGGGGAGCTCTGTTACTGCGGATTTCACTTTTGAGCAAGCTTCACTTGACAAATAAGCAACAAGATGAAAATGTGTTGCATTGTTCAATCTAAATTGCCCCCTATAAATGAAGAGGAAAAAGACGAGTATAAGGAAAATGAACGTCTTGTATAAATAAACACTCTAAAGGCGATTCAACCATATTATCGAGAACTTTGCATCAATAATTAAGGAAGAGAAATATTCAAAGAAAAAACTCAACAACAGCACAGAAAATACAATTGAAGATCTCACCCCCAAATTGGATCACTAAGTGGCTGAGCACAGCTATATTTGTCAAACTCTGGATAATGCAAGAGCTGAGGCATTATATTTATGGCTTCAGGCTCCGCGTATATCTCAGACATCATTGCTTGTTTGTCACATGAAATATTAGAAGGATCTTTGGCGTCAGGTGATTCAGGGTGATTAGATAGAACATCTTCATTCTTAAGGAGTGGCAATATCTTCTCGGTGTCATTTTTAGCGAGGCGTCCAACACTTTCACCTTCTTTTGATCTGACAGATGACATACTCAAAGGATCTTTGGCTTTGGGTGATTCAGTCTGATTACAAAGAACATCTTCATTATCAAGGATTGGCAAAATCTTCTCGGCGTCATTTTTAGCAATGCATCCAACACTTTCACGTTCTTTTGATCTGACAGATGACATACTCAAAGGATCTTTGGCTTTGGGTAATTCTGTCTGATTGTAAAGAGCATCTTCATTCTTAAGGATTGGCAAAATCTTCTCGGCATCATTTTTAGCAAGGCATCCAACACTTTTACCTTCTTTTGATCTGATAAGTGATTGCTTTCTAACTGTGCCACTCTTTTTCATTAAGATCCTTTCATTTATGCGTTTGCTTTTTCTTGTCGATTCAGGTTTACGTTTTGGGTTACTTGGAGCACAGTCCACGCATCTCCAGACTATTGTCCCATCATCTTCCCTGTGGATATTCTCTATACAATAACTGCAGACATATATGATACTCATTAGGCATATTTGACAAGCATCAAGCAACAACAATGGTACAAAGCATCTTAGGCCTAGTTTTATCATGGCGCAAGCGCCAATTTAGTAACAATCTGTTTCTTCACTTTAAATTATAGCCTACTTTGGAGTTATAGGTCTAAGCAGACCACATAGTTAGCTACGCATTTTTATGGATGCAGTGTTAATCCTAATTGCAAGAAAGTAAGCTCTACATTGAGCATACAGCCTGGGTAATATTACGATATTAAGAACGTAGTACACCGTATTCACCTAGTTTGTCACATATATAGTTGCGTCGAGTGCCTCTTACGAATTTAGCAAAATATTTGCTACCTACCTACCTGATCATTTAAATTAACAAATGTAGTTGCAGTTTATGTAGTGACAAAACTTTACAAATTGTAGTTACAACAATGATTTCAATACCGTCTTGTACAGTAAGTCAGTAATAGTATAACGCAATTAAACATATATAATGGAGCAGAATAAAATTTACTAAAATATAGATATACTTATTTGTTAAAATGTATATAAACAAATTTTGGCCTAACAAGTTGTAAAGATTTCAAAATCCACATAAAGCTAAATAGAATTCCAACTCATTTTTCCAAATACAAATCACAATATTAAACATACCTATGTTGGGCAAATGCTTTACACTGGATACAGTATACGAGGCGCTTTAAATCTCCTTTATCGCCGCACATTAGACAGACATTTTTCTGTGAAAATCATTGAAACAATTTTGGAAATGCATTCTAACACTTGGCCATGAAATGAAACAAGTTATACTTTCAAAGAAAACATTTAAAATTCTCACTTCATCTGAAGCTGAGACAAAAGAAACATTTAAAATTCTCAATTGAAAGCGCGCAAGCTCACACACGCATACGTAAACATTTGCACTGACACAGACACCGGACACGCGGACGTTGACATTAATTTCCCAAATTACTTCAATTTTTGAAATTGAGGGTATTTTCAGATTCATATTGGAAAGTGAGGTAATTTGGATTGTGGCAAAAATTTCATTAAGTTTCATCACATTAACACATTCAATAATTCGATGTAACAGTTGAAACTCAGAGAAAATCAATGGTAAAAAAAAACGAAAAACGAAACGGAATTTACCTTTTCGGCGTTAATAACACGCGGTTTAGTTGGTAACGGTGAATCGGAAGCCCCAAAATGTTGAGGAAGCATGGTTTCGTCCCTATCTATCACGAACCCTTCTTCACGAAGTATTAGTATGGCATTGATTTTTACTCTGTTTCAATGAAGCATAGCTGAACAATATAAACATGACTATTCAATTTTAAGTGATTAAAAGGTGAACTAAGGTAATTCGGGTTTGATTAAATATGCACTCATTTTTATTAAACATCTCTATTTTATACTAGATTATTAATTAATAGGTATATTTAAACTAATAAAAATGACAAACAAAAAATATATTTCCAACAATAATTTTTTTTTAATAATTTTCAATTATTACTTTATTCAATATTATATAACATAATAATATAAATCTTAGAAATTTGTTTATGTATTTATATACTATGATTAAATAAAAATTATAAAAAATAATATTAATAGATACATAAATTAAAATTATTATATAGTTAGTTAACTATTTTTAACAACTATTAATATTTTATTTTTAATAACAAAAATTGTATAGACTAGTTATTGATTATTTAATAAATTTATATTAAAATAACCCCTTTATTTTATAAATTACTCCTTTTTTAAATTAAAATATTTTATATTTTAAATATAACAATTGTTATATTTTGATCAATTATTTATTTTAATTTTTAAAAAAATTTTAATCCTTTTTAAAAATATTTTGAATATGCATCTTCAAACTTATTTGATAGATGCATCTCTGGACGGTGTTGGAGTTTAAATCGCGCCAAAACTCTTCTCCTTCCTCATTTATAAAAGAACTAAAAACTTTTTCAAACTCTCTCAAAATATTTTCCATCAACCAAATTCAAAATCAAACAATCAAGCTCAAAGGATCTTCGATCAACATCAAGGACATCAGAGACATCAAAGGATCTCCAATCAACACTGAAGCAAAGTCTAAATTTGTAAATTAAATTTTTGATGTTTTGATAAGTTTTTTGAGTTTTTATGTAAATGAGTAGAAAATTATGATTTAGGTAAAAAATAGTAGGAAATGTAAGAATGTTAGTTTATACACAATGTAAAGCATGTTTGTTTGTTGAAAATCATAATCAAACCATTTTTTTAGGTTTACATGTCTACATTGCCGCCATTGAAGGACCTGAAGAGTTGTAGAAAATTTCGGAGATGCATCTCCAAAAATTTTCTATGTTTAGTTTCTTAGTAACCGGAGATGTATCTTCGAAAATTCTCAGTCTATTTTTTTTTCTTGCTTGTAGTGTTGTTTATACTAATTTTCTGGTTTAATTATAGATATTATGGATGATAGACACAATAGGCTAAGACACGTGATGGTTGCACATCATGCATCGATGTAGCGGGAAAAGAGTTGGGTTTCAAAGGCTCTTGTTCACTCTGGCCATGCAGAGACATATACTTTTAGGGCTTATGCTTCTCCCCATGTTTCTCAACATTCTTCTTCCTCTAGGAGACGAGTTTCACCTATCGACGCATCACTCCCTCCATCCTCCCGTAGGCGCCAGGTTTCACCTATTTTTTTGCCAGAGGTACCCGGTGGCACTTGAGGCACCAATGCCACCTTCGAAAGATGCTTCTGAGCCAATGTCACCTTCAACTGCTGATGCTGCTGAGTCAGTGCCACATCCGCATGGTGAGGCTACTGAGGATGATGTCCAGAGCCACCTCAAGAATTTAGAAGAGGTCATGTAGAGTTGTCACTACTACCTCTATATCCAGACCATAATGTCAGACATATCTGGGACGAAGATGTAGCATTAGTTGAAATCATTCTTTTTAATTTATGTTTATCATTATATTACAAGTTTCTGACATTTATTTATTTTTCCTTCAGGATCGTGGTCCGCTAAAGATTATTAACCACAAACGAAAGATTACTGATTTTCCTTAGCTGAATGAGGAGTGGTTTCAGGAAGCTTAGTCCCTATGTAGGATGAAGGACTTGTGCATGATCAATTATATTATAGTTAACCACAAAATGCTTAATGTATTCATGGAGAGATGGCACACCGAGGCCTCGTCATTTCATCTCCTGCTTGATGAGATGTATATCACACTCGACAATGTATCGTGTTTGCTGAATCTTCCAATCATGGGGAAAGTTCTAGGTCATGGGATGATTAGTTGTTAGTGCAACTTTCCAATTAGATGTATTTTGAATGATGTCAAAACTAGGATACTTTAGCGTTTATGTATATTGAACGATATCATCTCAGTATAGTTGTACATTTTAACATTAAGAAGCATGACAACATGTTGGAAAAGGTTTATAAAAGATTCATGCATCAAGAAATAGTTTTATGCATCAAAAACTCATTTTTATGTGAAAAACAACCTACAGGTAGACACATACGCATCATAGGTCTACACATAGAAGTATAATTCTTCTACAGGTTGACGCATGTGCATTATAGGTCGACACATAGAAGAAAATTTCTTCGACACGTCGACACGTATGTTTTATAGGTCGACTCATGTGTTGCATTTTTAAAGCTTGTAGGCTCTGTTAGATGTGCCGCCTCTACAGGTCGGCACATGACTTGCATAGGTCAACCTATACATTAAAAATATTGAAAATTTGCATCATTTTTCATTCCCTTTGCTTCATACTATCTCTCTCTCTCTCTCTCTCTCTCTCTCTCTCTCTCTCTCTCTCTCTCTCTCTCTCTCTCTCACGCGCGCGCGCACACACACACACACATACACACAAATATATAATATATATATTCATGTTTGTCACGGCGGGAAAAAAAGTTTGAGATTAAGCTATCGATTAATTTAACTCAAAAAAGCAAGAATCACCACCGAACTTTATTGTTTCCAAAGGGAATGGGAAAAGATCGAACACAACCCACAAAAAGGTAAAAAAAAAATGAGATCTGAATACGGGGGTTGGTTATGCAAATGGAATGTATTAGTGATGACGTTATTTTAGTGTGTCATGATGACTCATTTTCTCTTATGGTTTTAGTTAAGCTTAATTAGGATTTATTTTAAATTTACTTGTTTTAGTGTGTTTACCTTAAGTGCACTAGGTGAACTTTTTATGGTTTTTCATGTGTTTTTGTTTTAAAGAAAATCTGATAAAGGCAAGCTGAGACATGACACCTCGAGACAGGATCTAGAGTAGAATGAAGATTAAAGAAAATGAGATGTTGAGTCTTGTTATCTACAATTCACTATGAGCTTGAAAGAATTTTATCATTAGGGCACACGTGGCAATGATTTGTGTAAAGAAAGAGCTAGAGCATAAAGATAAGACCAAAGGAGCTTGAGGATAAAATGTAGTACAATGGAGACCACGCCTACAAAAGCGCATCCTGCACCCAATCACCCGCTGCCGGCTCTGCGCCACTAACTGCTACAACAGCCTGCCAAAGACACCTTGTCTCCCATTGCTATCTGTACTGGATAACTTGTTCACGAATGAAGATTTGACAGCTGGAAATTTTAGTGATTTGATGTGGGTTGAACCTTATTCCTATCAAAACCCCATGATCCAAGACCCATCAACTTCTACACTCATACTCAAAGTCTATAAAATCAAGCCTTGTGCATCAGAGAGAAGAGACCGAGAGCTAGAGATTTTACACACTCAGATTTATTTTCATTGTTAGTTTTATGTCATTTTGAGGGTTAGAAAGAATTAGAGAGTTTTCTTCTTCTCATCTAATCCTGTATTCACACGCTATTGTGATGGAAACGGATTTTAGTGGAAAGAATATGTTATTTAAAAAGAGTTAAATATGTTTTTGGTCCCTATGAAATTACTAAATTTTGTTTTTGATCCCTATAAAAAAATAGCGTGTTTTGGTCCCTACAAAATAGTTATGCACGTAGTTTTAGTCCTTATTGTTAAACTAGTGTGTATTTTTGAATAATTATTTTGTAGATATGTTTAGAACGTTATAAAAAGTTTCTCGAAAATAAAGAAATCAAAATTTGATTTATAAGTCGAGACTTTCATTACTTTTATCATTATCTTTTGAAATTTAAAAAATTCATATTTAATTTTTTTTATTTTAAAAAATTATCTAATTTAGTAAAGAAACATTTTATAGTAATCTGAACACGTATAAAAAAATTATTCAAACATTTAAGAGTTTAAGAGTAGTTAAATAGTTTTCATAATTTTAATACTGCAAACATAAAATTTTTGTAAGGACCAAAATATATCTTTTTTTATAGTGACTAAAATAAAATGTAAAATATTTATAAGAATTAAAAACATATTTAACCTTTTAAAAAATAAAGTTGGAATCTAATTTTTCGAATGATTAGGACAAGAGTTCATAAAGAGAACAATTTGAGGATCAATACTTGCATTTGTGTTCACAAATTTTACCTCCTTTACATATTTAATACCTTTTAAAGAATATAAAAGCTGCCTTATTTTTGGTCAAGAAAGCTACCTTGTCCCTTGTCGACTCGACATTACCCATCTTGAATTCTAGCCATTCACCCTCACATGACTCTATCTTTTATTTAACACAAAAATAGATAGTAAACAAAAAACTAACAAGTAAAACTTCAATAATTTTGTTATAAATCTGTATTGTATAAGTTAACTGATATTCACACAAAAAATGTGTAGCAAAAAAAAAAAAAGTAGGATTCTCGTGGCCTAACTCTAAAATAAATGTACAGATCCTCAAAAAACATGTGAGAAGGTTTTGCATCTAACATGAATTTACCTATGATCAAAATCCTACTTCTAAGTTTTACCTGAGCTCAATGCTTCAATTTTTTCCCAAGTTTATGTTTGGAATCCAAGGCCTTGGTTGGAATTGAAAACTCCTTTATAAATATGTCCACTTTTACCAATCAAGATGAATACAAAATTCAAATACCTTTGAATTCGAGAGTGTGTTTGAATACCAACAATATCATGATGATACCGTCGAGAGTGAAGCTCAAACTAACTGTTTCACATTCACCGCGTGTCGTCTGAGTTAAGTTCCTGTGTTACCAAACATGTTTGAGTTAGTTACCTTCTGAGTTCTAAAGCCTAACAGGAAATCCGAAGTTGTGAAATGTCTTGATGGTTCCATCAAGACCGGCTGCAACAACCGAGAGTCCCCATGTTTCGGGTACACGATTCTCATGCCATAAATCTTTAAAAGATAGCTCGTCGTGATCAAATTCAATTTCTGAAAGAGGTGAACCCCAACTGGGAAGTTTCTCTTCAGGCCATGTCATAGAACGGTGGCACGAACCATCAATGGAGAACCAACTCCCAAAAGAAAAACGTTCCGACTCTCTAAAACTGGGAGCAGCCACTAATTTGCGTTGCTTTTCAGAAGAATAGTTGACAAAGTCGCCAAAAGAGCAGCTTCTTTCTGATGTCATGCCTGACCAAGGTATTGCGACAGTAACACCCTTGGAGCGGAAGTGCTCACATGAACTATCTGTTTTTCTCTGTTTCGAAAAATAATTTCCCGAGTCATTGAAGTTCCAAATATACACACGAGAGTCCTCACCAACCGAAATTATGTGATTTCCGCTAGATGTAAATGAACCAGACATCTGACTTCTAGACATTAGAAGACCTGCAAATTTTAGTAGTATGATCAGCCAACTTAGAATGGAAGAGCTTACCGATTTTTGCAATGCCAATTAAACAATTGAAGTATCAAGACTTGGCACTCTACCTCTATATGTCTGAACAAGTTCAGCATCTTCAAATATTCTAACTTTGGAATCTCGTGATGTGATCATAACTCTCCGATGGTTTTTATGAGAAAACTGCAACAAATTTGGGTGTTAAAAAGTTAATTAACTAAATAAATAGCATAACTCTGTGGCAGTGAAGAGTTTCAAGAATAATACCTGAATGCCAGTAATCTTGTTGCCAGATGATCTTTTCTTCTTTTCATTGACACGAATCTTCGCCTTATGCACAAATTGTTGACCTAAAGCCATAAAATCCAAATCAGGAACCACTTTCAATTCAAGTCAATTTTCTTCATGCGTTGTATTGATGACTATAGAAATGCTTATCGCACAAGTAAATACCTGAAGTTACATAAAAGCGGCAAATACCACAAAGGGAACCGACTACAAACCCCTGCATAATTGAAAAGCAATAAGTTCGAAATCTTACCGAGTTAAGCTATGAGAAATGCAAAAACCGAAAAAGACGCAATTCTGAAAAATCGAGAATTTATTAACATACCTTCCCATCTGGCTGATAACTTATGGCACTAATGACATCTCGCGTGTCTGCCCAGTCAACAACTCGCTCTTCATGTATTCCCCATATTCGAACTTTACCATCTATGGAGCCACTTATGAAGTAATTTTCATCAACAGGGTTGAATTGAATACATGTCACTGTTTCCAATTAAAATAGATACACAATTATGATTATACCATTGGGATAAAACATGCTAATACTTGCACCACAAACAATTATGAAAATGAACCAAACCAAGCATATGCTACAAATACATTAATACGTAAACAATGGTCAAAACAATTGAAGACTTAATACTTACCATAATCTTTGTGATGGAAAACTTTTAAACATTGATTATAACCAATTTTCCACATGCGAACTGTTTTATCCATAGACGAGGAAAGGAGCATCTGCAACAGATAAATTAGTCCAGATTTCGTTTTATAGCAATAACAAACAAATAGAGCTTATAGCAAAATAATTGGAGGATTAAAAAAATAAAAATTCAGCAAGCTAAACTCACATCTGAATCAGACCAAGCCAAATCCACCACATCACTTGAATGACCATACAGTTCTTGAAGTGGGGATTCCTCAATTTTGAGAATCTTACTTGGAACAACAACGGGGGATTGACAACATTTCTTCGAAGAAAAAGACACGCCGTGTTTCAATTTGCTAACAGCACTAGCTTGTTTAGCATAACAAATACTAGAAGCATTCAGCGATGAAACATGCCATATATGAACAACACCATCTTCGCCGCCAGTTGCTAGATACTGGCCCCTTGGACTAAACTTCATAGTCCAAATTAGACCTTTGTGTGCTCTAATCTCTTGTCCACCATGCACAGCACTAGACTCATTCCAGCTTTTCTTATTGTGCCTTACATTGATTCGACAAGTTTCATTCGTATTCGCGTTAATAAATTTTGATCTAACTATCCCTCCAGCTAGTTTCCCACTGTTAACAAAATGCTTCCACCAGTTTTTCTTTTTCTTTTTACCATTATCAATAACTTGAAATTCCTCTACAATCTTTGCTTCTCTATTTCTTAGCTCATGTAATTCCTCTCCTTGTAAACTTGCATCTGTTTTATCATCATCATCTCTGGACTCAAACACGACTCGCGCCGTCGAAGACAAAACACAATCATTTGATACTGTTTCACTGCAGTCCGTTATCCTCTCGTCCCAGTGCACAATTTTGTTTTCAGAAGTAAACTCAGAAGAAGCATCAACGAAACCCATCTTTTGTAGAAAATTTTCCTTTCTTTCCTTGACACTAAGAGGCTCATTAAGCCAAAAGTCATACCCAAAATATTGATTTCTCAAAAGAGATTCTTGAGAAGGTGAAAAACAATCCAATGCATCAAAGAACACACCATTATCTCCTTCATCCGAGATCAGCATATCTTGTAATAATCCTCACACATGAAAATAGAAACCTTTCCCCTTTCCTCACAAATTCCCTTCCTCTCAAACACCCCTTAAATACCAATCAAACAAGCAGAAACCAAGTACGAGGAACCTCAGAAAACAACCAATGATCCCAATACAAAGATCCCAACACTTAAATTAATATTAAAAAACTAATCCCAAACCCCAATAACTACGAAACTAAAAAAATCAGAAAAACAAAAGTGCATCAGTGTAGTAAACATTAAGCAAGTTGAATTGAACACCGACCCTCCAGTTAATAAGGATTTCAACAAACCTCAGTACAGTGAACCAAAGCAACCAAAGCAAGGAAGAAAAAGAGAGACGTAGGTGGCAGTACCCTGGTTCAAGACACAAGAGAAAATGGCGGAAGAAGAAAAATACTTGTCTCTTGATATGTGAACAAAAAACAACCTCGAGATTTGAAGGGTTTCGGGATTCAAACTCAAAAAAAAGAAAAAAAAAATCACAGACTCACGCACGAGCGACAAACACGAACGGCGCGACCCGAGAAACGAGAAACAAGAAGAAGCTACTACTTCCACTACTCCAACTCTGTCTGTGTAACAACAACAACCACCATGGTTTTTTTCTTTTTCTTGTATTCCTCACTCACCTATCGCTATCTGTCATAACAACAACAATAATAACCAAAAAGAGAATTTCAATTTCAGTGTCATTAATTAATTTAATCAATAATCAGCGTGGCGCGAGTTTAAAAAAATCATGATATTATTGATTGATGAATGATTCTTTTTAGCTTAGTAATTAAGACGCATTAATTAATTAATAACGTGCGTTATTATTAAATAAATGAAAATGGAAAAAAAATGGAAAAGGAGGAGTAATTGGTGGCATGGGTAGAAGAAGAAAATCGAAAATGAGTAATGAAAGAGAAAGCGATGAGACGAAAGAAGAAAGGGTCTAATAGTAATAGGCGTTGAGATAGAACCATCGTAGGTCTACTTATTACAGCAAAACATTACTACTACCACCACACTGTATTGCACTTAATTCCTTGGGCTTTGTGCTTCTGTCTTAATGTTATTACCATTCATGCTACTCTACTACTCTAGACTTAGTTGGAATTGCTACTTCTAATGTGACCAGTTTGTATAAAGAAACTTCTTTAAATTCTTCTCTTCATGTAACCAGCTAAAACTCAATTTAGAAAATTTTAAAAAAAATTTTAAAAAAAATTATATTAAATTAAAATAAATATTTTCTCCATTCTTTTCTAATAAGAGAACGGAAAAAATATTAGTATAAGTGATGAGATGGACAGAGGCTATTATACATCATTATCAGCGTTTTATCATGGAAGGATCCTTCCAAAACATGCCTCCGCTATCACACGTTTCATCACCTTTTCTTTCTTTCGCATTTACAGCTTTTATTTTGGATTTTTTTATAGTCTTCTTTACATTTATTGGTCTGTGCTGATTTAATTTCTAATTCTAATTTATGTAAATGCGTATTTATTCGTATAATAAAAAATTCTTATAAATAAAAATAATTCTATCGGGTCAGGTTAATTAAATTGATTGATTTGATGGAGAGAAAAATCCGTGGCTGGTGTCTTTTTAGTTCCTACCAATAGTGTACGGTGAGAAGCATCTTTCAATTCTAAATTTTTTTTGGCTTCATTATCGGCTTATTGCATGCATATTATTAAAGTTGATTAGCTATTCGTATTAAAGAAATTAACACTAATTAGGGATAGTTAGAATAAGTTTTTCTTCCTTCTAAATTTAGATTATTATGGTTATGATTAAAAATCTAAATTAATGACTAAAAATGTGGATCTATTTATCGTTTGTTCAATTTTCAAGATTTGTAACTTTTTGAACAAAATTTGTTTCCAAACTTTGAAAAGTAGTAGCTTATGCATGTTTAACCTAAAATCAAATCTAACATAGCCACCAGATTTTACTGTTCAGTTGAAAAGTGTGTGAGAATTTTCATAAGACATGTTTCTTACTTTTATTCTGACTTGAAATTTTGAAAAAACAATCAAGCATTAATTGACCAAAGTCAAAGTCAAAATTTTCATATTAGAAAAATTATAAAAATAAAAATCAGTGCATTTTCAGATCAAATTCTGTTCACAGATTAATTAGTCTCAATATGTGAATGTGAACTATTTGTTATTAGTTTTGATTGTTTTATCTAAGAAATGCATTATTTATATATATATATATATATATATATATATATATATATATATATATATATATATATATATATATATATATATATATATATATATATATATATATATATATATATATATATATATATCAGAAAAACAAAGAAAAAATGAATACAGAAATGGGAAACAGATTGAAAACAGGCACAGGAAAACCCAACAGAGTAAGTGAAATTCACAAAAATAGTTTGCATAAAAATTGGCATTCATATAAAAAATAGTACATTACTGTAGAAACATTGAGAAAATAAAAAAAAACATTAGTAACAGAAAGTAGTATAGCTAACCTGGACCCAACAAGGCTTCAATCCCTTTGCAAATTGCAATCGGAAAACATGTAACAGGACGGTGTCGGAATTGATATTTTCTAAGTCCTAAATCTATAATAGTAGTTGTGTACTGTTGTTGTCTGTTGGTCTGTGTCTTTAGTGTCTTTAGAGAGAGGGTGAGGGAGAAGAATATATTTATAGGAGTAAGAACAATTTTCAATGTAGCGTTATCCATATAAAAAATGTGAAAAGAGTATATTTTGATCATAGAATCAAATCATAAATAACCGGAAAAAAATTCATAAATAGTTTTTAAAAAATTGAAATGTATAAGTAGTTAGATTAAAATATAAAGGAATGTGTATTCTAATTGGAGATGTTGTCCACGTAAGAATGGAGCTGGGCTACATATGTGATTAAGCTGGTTATCAATAATATTTGATTTATTAGTATTGTTTAAGGTCTCAAATTTTACTTTGACTTTCAAAGTTCTAGGCACTTCAGTAATTCTCCTTCATAGTGTCTTCGCACGGGGTATCGTGAGTAATGCGCACTTTTATATATTTAAAATTTGAAAAAAATAATAAGATTAATAAATATAAAATATATAATTTATATTTTTAAAATAAAAAATAATTAGTATACACTGACCGTGTAAAATATTTTATACTGTCAACTAATCATCCTCATACATCCCGCCACATCAGATGAAAGTGTAAAATTATTGTACGGCATATCAATTGAACTCTTTTTGAACAATATTTTTTATAAATATATTTTGATGAATAAAAAACTTGTTATCAATTATAAAAATATTTGGATTATCCATACACTTTTTTCATTTATATATATATATATATATATATATATATATATATATATATATATATATATATATATATATATATATATATATATATATATATATATATATATATATATATATATATATATATATATATATATATATAATTCAATATAAAATATTTAAATTTTTTTATGTATAAAAATATTTTTCTCATGGCTATCAATATTCTTCATGACTTCAATTTCCCATTTTTATATTATTAAAAATATATTTTTTTTGGGATACCTATAAAAATCATAATTAAGTAATAAAATTTTAAATAACTAACGATTTTTGAAAATAAATTTGAAAGTTCGAGTATTAATATTTGACTCATTTTTAGAATAAAATGTTAAATTTTTTTTCATAAATATTTGATACATAATAAAATATATTTAATCATATTTATACAATGGATATGACCAATATATTTTTTTTTCTAAATTAAAAAAATTTAGTTTAGTTTAGTTTATAAAATAATCAAAAATCAATTATACACCTTTAAAATTATTTTGATTATTTTAAAATAAAAATTGAATATATATTTATCGACAATCACATATTTTATATACCATGTGTCACATATTAAGTTCAAATTGAGTTTGATAGTCCAGCGGAATATCCGTACCTTTGCACGGTACCTGTCGGTGACGCCCATTTGTTTACATTTAAAATTTTAAAAATAATACAATTAATAAAAATTAGTAAATATAAAAAATATAATATATATTAAAAAAAAGAGAATCAATACTCACAGATACCGGTTAGTAACACGTATTTATTTAAATAATAATAAATAAATAAAAGACAAAATTATTTTACCAAAAAATGTTTTAATTTAAGAAAACATATTTTATTTATATTTGAAGTATAAATATAGTTTTTTCATATATATAAATATTTGAATTAACGGTATTTTTTGGTATATAAATATTAATTTTATTTTGATATTTTTTATAAAAATATTTATGCAATGATTAATTTTTATATATATTGAATAATAATATAGTATTTATAAATATTATTTTAATTGTATAAATAAATATTAGTAATATAATAAATACATTTTGCTCGTGTTTGAATTCATACATTATTTTAAATATTTTTATTTTTATTTTCTTTAATAATACAGAAAATGAAATAACATGCGCGTTCGCACGAATTCTAATCTTTATGTCTGTGCGTTCTGACGTATTACGCGCATTTATTTACGTATTTTTAAAAAATGATCGATAATTTTTTATTTTTTAATACCTAAATCAATAGTTTAAGTTTTTCTATTTCATATTAATGAATTTTAAAATTTATTAATGTTGTATTAAATAAATTATTATTTAGTTTTAAAAATATAAGTAATATGTCTACTAATTATCTTATTATAAATTTCCTAATATTTTTTAAATATTTTAAAAAAATGTTTGATAAATTTATATTTTTTAATATTTAAATTATCATCCTATTTTATATTAAAAAAATCTATTTATAAAATGTATTTGAATCAGTAATATATATTTTTCTCATATTTACATTAATAATAAACATTAATTAATTAATTAATTAATTTCAAAACCATAAAATAAAATAGTAAATTGATTTAAATTATTATAAATAAATTAATAATAATAATAATAATAATAATAATAATAAT